TGCATTTAGTGGACTGTCATTCAAAATGACTCATAAGCAAGGATTACAGAGTACAATGTTTGGTTTAATATCTTGCCTATAAACTCTTCATCATGGGGACCAGGAAGTCATGGTTCAACTAGCCACATCCAGATGGATAGAAGACCATATGATTGCAGGGCAAGTGATGGGGGTTCATGATAGCAGTGCAAACATGAGAAACCTTCACTGGAGAAGAAGGGGGTTTATTTTTCAATAAATTTAATTTCATTAAAAAAAAAAAAAAAAAAAAAAAAAACTTGAGCTAAATATATTAATTGCTTTGTACCATTTGAAGAACTGCAAAGTAAGTGTTTGGCGTTTCTGTGATTGCTAAAGCCCGACCGATATATCGGTCAGGCCGATATAGGTGTTTGGGGACATATCGGTATCGGTGATAATTGGCCCATTATGAACCGATATAAACACTTCTAATTTTCACTCCTAAAATGTTGGTAACGAGCTGTGTCCTTACTTGCAAATGATGTAATTGTATAATGCATCCAGCAGAGGGCGCATGCGGACTATTTTCCAAGTCATGGCCATTCTGCACACTTGACTCAGAGCACAGCCGTAGCAGAGAGCAACTAAATACTGTGTAGTGTATTTTGTTGAACAGAGCATGGTGAAATTATAGTAACTGATTTGGATAGTAAAATAAAAAATCAACAATAACTTCTCTTCAATCATTAGCTACGTGCCTCTCAAGTTAGCAAGCTAACATTTTGCATAAGCTATTGCCTTGTTAATGTTTATCCAGAACAATAAATCTAACGTAGAGGTAAAATAATATTTTACCTACGTTAACATTGATATATTTTTAAAATATATCAGTGTTAATAATATTATCTTTGTCACCCTCAATGAAATGCTTTGTCTGAAATATATTTCTCTGCAAAAAAAAAAAAAAAGCTGTGGTCAATACTAATTAGGCCTTCACCATGCGTGACTGACAATGAACAGGGAGGTGTGTTTCTTTGGTGATTTTATATTTTTGTAACACACTTGAAACATTTATGGTGAATAGTGGAGGATAGAAAATGTGAACGCACATTAGGAAAACTGCTTCAAGACTTCAAGTGTTAAAACAGGTTTAAAAGTAGCTGTTTACTTCAACTTTTGGTGGTGGACAAAGCTCAGATAATTTCAGCCAGTATATCAGTCATTGGCATCAGCCTTCCTTTCCCACTATCGGAATCTGCAATAGCCAAAATTTCCATATCGGTTGGGCTCTTGTGAATGCTATACAAATTAAAAGCCTTTCTTGAAGGAATGCGTGTCGCCTGCCACCTTTCAGAGCTTTCAGAGCTTTAAACTAAGATAGGGGAAGCTGTGGAACACATAGCAGTCTATGGACCAGAAAAAAGTTGCAGGTTTGTTTCTCCATGTACAGTAGGCCTGCTGAAATAAACAATAAATCAATTAATCGCATGATAAGTGAAAATTATTGACCTCATTTTCATTTATCAGCTTTATCATTTCTTCGTGTCTCTCTTTCTACTGAAGACACTGGATGACAAAAGTCTCAACTCTGGTGCTCTTCGCTGACCCCTCCCCTTCTCTTTTCGCTTTAAAATTTATTTTAGCCATCCCAAATCGCATTTTTAGATTGTTAAAAGAAGCTAAGCTGAGAAGCTAAGCTACGAGCTAAGCTAACAGGCCGACCTCCGTCTTATCGAAGCCCCAAAAGTCATGGTTGAAACCTGTGCCATTATGTAAAAAGTTTTTTCTCTGCAAAAAGAAGCTGAGAACTTGGTTACTGATTTTTATTATAAAAGCACTGTGTGAAAAATATTATGCTAAAGAGCTCAAGTCACACTGACCATCCGCCATTTTGAGAACCGGCGACCCATAATGTCAAGAGGCCTCCCTCCCATTTTTTTTAAAGAGACATGCTGTTCGCTCCCTCACCATCCATCCTTTGTTTCAAACAGTCTTAAACTGCCAGCTGGTCATAAAAAAAGCTACTACATGCAAAACAAATTAACAAACATTTCTTCTTAAATTTGACAATAATTACTAATTATTGTCAAATTTAAAACAATATTATCGTTTATCGCAATAATTTCTGAGACAATTAATAACCCAGCAAAATTTGTTATCGTGACAGACCTATTCAGTGTTGCCAGGTATACGATAATTATCGTATTTGTACGACAATTTTGCCCTCTGTACGAGGTACGATCAATAATGCCAAAAGAGGCCAAATATACGATAATTTGACCATTCCGTGAAAGTGTGGTTGTAATCGTTTGTCATCAGCCTCTCGCAACTGTCTGAGTTTTTTTGTGAACCCTGAAGGCATCTGTGTCCGCAAACAGAAGCGCGATTGGCTGGAAATTCCAGCCAATCGTGCTTTTCTAAAGGTTACCTACGAGTGACGTGTTTGCGTTTGCCTCAGAACAACGGCCATGATTGGCTGAATAGTCCGCTGCGCCCGCCCCATGAGTGAGGAAAAGAACAAAAGAAGAAGCAGAGCTGGTCTGGAAGCAGACCCATCACTACTATAGTGCATTAGTAGATTTGTTATTTTGGTCATAACGGGTGTACGATAATTTCCCTCAAAATACGATAATTTTATGTCTCTAGTACAATAATCCTACATTTCTCACCTGGCAACACTGGACCTATTGTACAGTGTCCTTGAGCAAGTCACCTGTTCTCTAACCACTTGGGTGTATCTCACAATGATAGGTCAAACCCAGAAAACAAATTTCATGAGTGTACGGGTTCATACACTGATAACAATGCATAGCACTTTCACTGAAATTGTCTGAATTCTAGCCATTTAGTGTTTTTTATGCCATTTAACTGTGGTGGCCATCTTTAATCAGGCTGATTCCAAATCATACTCATTTGTAAATGTTCATGATTTATTTATTTATTTCAAATCTTCCTTCTGAGAGACAAAAACATGGGGCAAAACATTATTCTGTACTTTTTATCAAATAATAACTATTAGTGTGTAATTGTGCTGATTATAATTCAAAGAAAAGAAAGTAAATACAGTCATAAATCTACCTGGCACACCTGTTTATCATGACTAAGATAAAAGGTATAAAAGCTAATAGTTGTAATTTCAAATACGTTTGTACTGCTCCTAAGGAGTGGTCTATATTTGAGCTGTTGTGCTGTTATTGACTTTGTTGTGACCAGAAGTAGTGTTAATGACTTGCACTACAGCTACTGTGGAAGAGCGGATCAATAATGCGGCTCTGCTGACTGAGATCTTTATAGTAGACAAAGGAGTTAAAACTAGTTGAAGCAATATGTTTACTGTAGTTATGCCAGATAGGTACATATATATAAGCAATTAACCTCTGTTCAGTGGAGCAGGGTGCTATTTTGGGCACTATCATATACTGAACGTGCTGAAACTTATTTCACCCAATCAAGAAACAAAGGAAGAGGACAAGTCTGTCAACAAACACACTGGAAAGCTGTTGAGTAAGCTCAAAATCGAACATTTCTGGAAAATCAGTAGAAAATGTTACGTTTTGAAGTCAATGTTCAGTGATGGGTGGCACGGTGGCGCAGTTGGTAGAGCTGCCGCCTCTCAGCGATAAGGTTGTTGGATCGAATCCAAGCCGGGGGCCTTTCTAGGTGGTTTGCATGTTCTCTTTGTGCACATGTGGGTTTTCTCTGGGTACTCCTGTTTCCTCCCGCCGACCAAAAACATGCACGCTAGGCTGATTGTCCTTAGGTGTGAGTGAGAGAGTGAATGTTTGTCTCTTTGTGTCCCTGTGATGGACTGGAGATCTGTCCAGGGTGTCCCCCGCCTCTCGCACAGTGACTGCTGGATATGGGCACCAGTGACCCCCGTGACCACAAAGGAAGACGCAGGTAAAAGATAACGGATGGATGTCCAGTGTTATCTACCACAATCAAGTTATGAAATAATCCTCACACTAAAGGTTTGATGACAAGCTCCAGTGACAATGAAGAAAATATAACAAAAAAATGTTTCAAGTCATTTGTGCATTAAAAAATTAAACGAAATAAGGATGTGGATGTAAATTAACGTTGTCTTTAATTTAAAAAACACTAATCAAATGTTTTTGTTTTCAGCAGTTTTGGAACAAAAGCATTACAAACTGCTGCTTTGACTCTAAAAGAGAATGAAACAACCTCAGATGTAACATAATAATTGTAATTTTCATGACCGTCTCATAAAAGTACCTGATTAAAAACGTAATCTTTGACACACAAATTCTACTTTAGCTTTTATGGCTATGTGAATATTGTGTATCATGGATTACATCTAAGATGATCATGTTTACCTACTTTATCTATTGCTGCCATCTGCAGGACAGCAGTTTGCACCTAAATTAAATTCTTTACATTCCTGTAGTTGTGCATCCTTAATATTTTGTAATATCTTCATTTTATCTTATACAGGTCTAATGTCAAAGCCCAAATGAAAAAGGAGCACTAATACAAAACAATATATACAAATGCTTTCTCAAAAACTCCGACGGTAATTTAAAAAAAAGAGATGATTTTCTGCAAGATTTTTTTATTTAAATTTACTTTGTGCAGTGAAGTCTTTTTTAAATGATGCATGTGACAATGAACAACCTGAATAAGACACTTTGCTTGAATCAGAGCAATATTAATCAAAACCATAAATTTGATGTGACTCCACAAGACTACCATGAATATCCTTAAAGTATAACTCAAATTTTTATTTAGGCCATGTGGAGCTAAACAGTCGAGATTTATAGTCGATATTCCAAAATTTTATTAAATGTAATCTGCAATGAGAACTGTCCAAAAAACTCATAAGTAAAAAAAAGTTTTATCTATAATTCATGAAAATAAAATCAAGAAAATCAAAAAAAATAGATGTAAACATGAGATGCTGGTCATCTTTTCCAGTGATTACAACAGAATTTAATTGGAAAATCCCATAAAGACCCGGTAATAAAATGACTAGAAGTACCTGAGGCACAATTTGTTTTTAAAATGCAAGTCTTGACAGCTATCCTTGAGAGAACACATATTTTATCTTATTGCTTTTCTAATTAAAGAAAATCTAAATTATCAAAGCAAAGTGGAAAAATAGCGCTTCCCATTGGAAAATGTATTTCTTTACTGTTTTTTATCAAAGTGGTACCAGCTTAAATCAACAAAAGATTGTTAACTTATTTAACTTTAATGAGTAAAAATGACTGTATTTGAGTGTTCATAGATTAGATACAAAATTTAGAATGCATGTCTTTTCCTTTTTTAGGCTGTTAGATTACATTTAGGGGAATAAAAATGAATGCAGCTTGTTCTCTGGGTTTGACTACTACCTCCCTTCAATGCCAAAATAAATCTGGAAGACATCACAGCAGCCTTTCTCATTTAAGAACTGGTAGAGCTGCCCAAGGTCCATGTGATTCCCTCTGTTCCCATGGGGGTCAAACATGGCCTCTTCAAAGCCTGTGAATTTGCGCAGGGAGTCTATGCTCTCAACAGTCTCGCCGTCCTCACCTTGACGATCAAGGGTAATATCCTCTCTGTGTCGAATCATGATTTTCTTCCATGTCAGAACCTTCACTCTGAAATGAGAAAAAAAATAAATAAAAGCTTTGAAAGAGGTGATAAACCTGGTACCTCTATAAGCTTCTTGCTGTGGCATCAGCTGCTAAAAATAGCAACACCTAAAGTACCTGGACCAAAACTCCTCGCAGGCAGACTGAGGACCTTCCACACACACAACGCCCGGCTTCCCGGGCATGCTGAATCCTGAGAGGCCCAACTCCTTTGACCACTCCAAGATGTTCTTCCTTTTTGATTTGTTGTAGATGTGGTGACTGTAGATCCACAGTCGGCTGAACGCGTCCTGTGGACAGGCGGACTCTGTCTTTGGAGTCGGTGCTGGTAATGAGCTCTTATTAATAAAAAGGTGCAGGTTGTCTTTCACCCAGTCCAGCGCAGCGAGGACACACACTTCCCCCTGGCAGTTTTCCATGAGGTACGTACTGAGTTGTGCCTGGAGCCGTGTCTGGTCAGCCCTGCTAAGAGCAGAACACCTACAGGAGAAACGGATTATTACAATTTCAAAATAATCACTTTTAGTCATCAAAAACAAACGCATAATCTCACTCTCTGAGTGGTCCCCAACGACATCATTTCCAAAGTCTTGCTGCACCTGGGCAGCTAATGTGACCACTAAGCTAATTTTAGAAACTTTATTTTTGTTTACCAAAGGTGAGTTTCCACTGTTTCAATTATGCTAATCCTTAGATAACATGTAATAGCTCACATATAACCTGGTTTGATAGCGGCAATGTTGTGATCAACATACATGTTAAGAAGTTGCAAATAAAAAGAAAAGTCTGTGCTAAAAACAAAACAGCTGTTTAGACAATTTATTTCCAAATGTGGAATAAATTTACTAAGTACAACCAATGTGATAAATATGTCACATTTCACATCTGTGCCAGTAGGGAGAGGTATTCAAAAAAAAAAAAAAAACCTTAAGAAATGTATTACAAATAATCCATTTGTTATAATTTACAACCCCCATAATTTTCACGAAAGTAGAAATGGGTCTGGGTTCTTAAGGGGCTGCTCCAGCCGGTAGCACATAATCCATTATCACAAATGATTTGGAAGTCGTAAATGACGGCGGTCTTAAAAGTATGTTTGAGACAACAACTCTGCCGGTGTTCTGGATTAATGTCTGGGCAGAAAACCCTGAGATCGCCACAACAGCACTGAAAACCCTGTTGCTCTTTCCACCATCCTGTCTGTGTGAGGCAGGGTGTTCTGAAGTGACAGCAACCAAAACAAAAGGACGTAGCAGACTGGACATAAGCAACACACTTTGGGTGTCATTGTCTCCCATTACCCCTAGATGGGACCGTCTCGTTGCAGAGAAACCAGCTCAGGGCTCCCACTGACAGCTGTACTTTTCATGCACTTTATATTTGTTCTGTGGTGTATCTTATGTTGAAGGCGTGTTTAACCTTTACTGTTACGACCAGAGAGTGTGAGGCTGAGAGGACGTTACTTCTTCAGGGGTTCCCAAACTTTTCCATGCCATAACCCCCCCCCCCCCAAACAGCATGAGCTTCTGGCCGAGGTCCCCCCTTGCAAACCCACAAACAATGCTACAAAATACGTAAAGAAACAACTTTTACAATGTTTTAACTTTTATTCACTATGTTCAATTCATTATTACAGCTGCTGAGCATAAAAATGTTATTAACTAACATGTTTTAAACACTGTTTTAAATTCCCAGTGGAAAAAACAAACTTTTGACCAGAAGAGCAAAACAAAAAAAATCTTAACTTCTCTCTCAAGTGTGTTTATCTGGAAATAACAGATACAGATTGCCCTAGTGGGTAACTTTTATTATTAATATTACAATTTTTTTCCCCCCTTATTTTTATCTTCTTCTCTCGAGCTTTCTAGGGCTCCCATAGCGCCCCCTGGTGGCCCCCCACATTGAAAAAACGCTGACGTTACGATGTTGGCGCGATGTTACGAGGACGCTGCTAATAAAGTTGCATACACAGTGGATTCACGTTTATTAGTACATTTAGAAAATACCAGTTTTTATGCGAGTTGTATCATTTTATTTTATTTTGTTGTATTTATCTACCACACCTTAAAGGGGTCCATGAAAATATTGTCTGAAATTAAACCGGTCCATGGCGCAAAAAAATGTATTTTTTTTATCTTGATAATTACCAAAACACATTTTGGAAAAAGCAGTTTTACATGGAAGCATACAGTAATATTATATATTTTATTGATAATTTTTGTATCAATGTCAATGAATGTGTAAATGTAATGACCATACACTTGTGGCTCACACATATCTGCTACTTTGTAAACTGTGTAGTAGCATAACAATGCCAAGCTCTACAAACTTATATATATATATATATATATATATATATATACATTAAAAAAACTGGGAAAAAAAATTCTAAAACCTTATCTTAAGAGCTGAATTCACTCCCTCTGATTTCAATGCAAACTCATTTAAAAGGTAACTTCAAGTGTTACTTCATAAGTCTAAAAATGACATAGTAAAATATTTTAGATAAGCATTAATATATATTTGAATTTCAGTCAGAAACAGAGAAAACTTCAGGTGAATCTAAACTGGTAGTTCTAACAAGGTTGAGTCAGCTCCTCTGGACGGATTCTTCTTTGTTGAAACGGTTCGTCTTTTATCCAAAAGACTTCTTCAGTCTGAGGAGCTGCAACAAACTCAGTCTTATAAATAGCACCTTCTCGTAGTGGATCAACCAGTCTGCTGGTGACATCCAGAACTAGCGTTCACATGTAAAAGGGTGAGTAAAGGTGAGAGGAGTAAAGGAAGTCATCTTTGTGAAGAGAACCTGTCCATCATTAAACAGGGGTGGAGGCCTCCATGTCCAACTGTCCCCCTCTTACAATGCTGTTATTGATAGTATCACTCAGCCCTCTGTGAATAGCAAGCGGCCACCAGGGCATTAATGATCAATTGCTAGGCTCATGGTCCTTCTTTTACATATGAACAGTTAGTTCTGGATGTCACCAACAAACTGGTTGATCCACTATGAGAAGGTGCTATTTATAAGACTGAGTTTACTGCAGCGCCTCAGACTGAAGAAGTCTTTTGAATAAAAGATGAAATGTTTCAACAAGAAGAATCTGTCCAGGGGACCTGCTTAACCGTGTTCCATTTATCTACCTGGATTACTGAACGTGCATTAGGATAAACTGGGGGTTGTTTTAAGCAGCTTGAATATCATTTTCACTGGAAGCTACAGCAATGTTCTCATATCTCTGTCATCTTTCAAAGATCCCACTAAACAGATATGAGGATTAATGTTGACACAAACATCCATCTATTCATCTTCTATTCATGCTAGATGCTGTGCAGGGTTTTACAGCGCTAGTTCCTATGGATGAAAAGTGGGTAGAACACCCTGAATAGATGTTTGTCAAAGGGCGATGCATTGAAACAAGCAATCATGCACCCACACAGTCACACCTGGGCCAATTAAGAATAGCCATTTACTCTAAACATGCATGTGTTGGACTGTGAAGAAAACCTGATCATCAAGAGAAAACCCACAAGTGAATCGTGAAAACATAGAAATGCTCACAAAGTTACAAACTTGTGTGCTCTTGGGACATTATTAGTGTCCCCTCAGTGAGAACTGAACTAGGCAAAAGGGTCTTCTCCTACTCCACTCCTGTTTCCTAGAATAGTTTGCAAAAAGATCTGAAGCTCTCGGCCTTGACCTCTCTAAGTGGCTTCAAACATCTGTTAAGTTACTGGCAAGAACCAATGCAGACATGTTCCTGTTTATAGTTTTCTACATCGCTTTATAATCTAGATGTTATTTTTTCGCTACTTTTTCCCTTTGATAAAAAAAAATGTATGCCTCTTTTATGATTGTCTATTGTTGTCAAATTTGAAATGTTTTTGACATTTTTTTTACAAATTTAATATTTGCTTATTTTTGCCTTATGCATTTTAATTGTTTTATTGATGAATTGCTACTAATGTATCATATTGATTATTGTTATATTTGTAAAGATTTTTAACCATTTATTTCTGATATTACACTAAGGAAAAAATTTACGACTACACATTAAGGATTCAAGGTTCTTCATTTGTCATTCGCATCCCATGTGGTACATGTGGTGGAACGAAATTATGTGCATAGGGTCCCAGTTACATCTAACAATAAAATGTAAAAGAAAAAACAGTAATACGATCTAAGATATGAACTAAGAAAAACAACAACTAAGCACTAGAAGCCTAAAAACATTATGTCGAACAGCAGCACGAAATTAAATAGTAAAAAGGGGCTTACCTTACTGTTATATCAGGGAGCACACTGGGGTATTCAGATGGATAAGAGCAGGATAAAATACACTCTGTCTGTGGAGGACACCAAATAAAAATCAAATAAATAAATATATATTAAAAATAAAAAAAAACACCTTTAATAACAACACAATTTTAGAACAGAGTAATTACCCCCTCCGTGCTCGAAGAGTCCAGTTTGTGTTTAATGAGGAACTGGGGTCTGGATGGAGGCGGATTGTCACCTGAGGTCGAACCTTCCACGTAGTTTCTGAGCTCAGCCAGTGCCAGCTGCTCTGTGAGCTCTAGCTCGTCCTGGCTGGGAAACATGCTTGTTAGCAGCTCTATTTCTGCGAGCTGAGACTCAGCCCACTCCAGGTAAGACATGTTCATAAACACAAAACGTCTACCAGTTTAACTCGACTTCGGTCTGCGAAAAGAACCGTTTCCAGTTTAGTTTTTCGTTCTGCCAGCGCTATCATGCTAAACAATGGTTCCTTTTCGAGTTGTCAGTGGCTTTTTTAAAGTTGTTACATAAAAGTATCGTTGAGCCTATCAAAAAGAATATATATATATATATAATTAAGTGAATTATACAACAAAAAAATATAGTATTGTTTAGCACCTCAGTACAGTAACTTCTGTAGCTGTTGTCTTATCGAAGTGTGTTTCTACCCGGACTGTTCTAAACGGCGCACATACAGGAAGTAGCCGAGCAGAAGAAGAAACAATCGCGATTCACATTTTGTTCCTCTCTTAGCTACATGTGTCATCCGGTGGAGTTTTTGCCAAATCAGCAGTGATTTTTTTTTTAAACTAGTTTCATTTAGTATGAATATTGTTTGTTACCTTTAAGCTTATACGCCCTGGATTCAACTAACAAAAAAACATTTATGTCCTAACGGAAGATTTCTTCAAAGGAAATGAAACAAAAACGGTGAATGTTTTAGTCTCCAAGTAACAGTAAGTTAGCTTTAACGTTAAAGATAATCTTATCTTTCCACTGAATGCACTGGACTGTAAGCTGTTTTTGTAGCTGTATACTAATGTGGTTGTTGGTTTAATGTTTTGTCTGGTTTGTCATTCATTATTTAAATTTTATCAGGTGAAAATGGGAAAGAAAAGGGGGAAGGACAAGAGGTCCAAAGAAGAGGATGAACTTGATCTGACAGGTAACAATAAATCTTTAGTGTGTGTGTGTTTCGGTTGATTATGCTGTAAGTATGATCTCTGTACTGATATTTTAATGTCTAGCATGGATGTTTTGTGTGCCTACTGACTATGAAACAAACTGCCCCTTGAGAATAATAAAGATGCTTGAACTTAAAGATCTGATACAAATGTAACCTTTTTTATTTTTCATAGTTCCATCCTGCAGACATATCAAGAAGGGGACAGACCAAACATTTCTGAAGAAACTTTCTGGTATTCCTGATTGGACAAGTTGCCAGGATTGTAAGCATGAGGAGAATAAAGAAAATATCAACGCGCCTCTACCACAGGACTCTGAAGAAGAAAAAGAAAGTGAAGGAATGTGGATGTGCTTGAAATGTGGCCACAGAGTGAGTTTATGTTAAAGTATTGTTTCAATTTCAACTGTGTGTACTTGTTCATGACATTTTACACGTTTTCTGTCAGGGATGTGGAAGAAACTCTGAGAACCAGCATGCCATCAAACATTATGAGACTCCTCACTCCGATCCACATTGTCTAGTGGTCAGTTTGGACAACTGGAGTGTGTGGTGTGTATGGGTTTTTTTTTTGGTGATAAACACAGATCAGAATAACTTATTATTAGTATGTTTAATTTAATACTTTTTCTTTAAGGTGTTACATATGTGATGATGAAGTTCAGTACTCCAGAACGGGGCTTTTAGCGCAGCTGGTGAGCAATCTGAAAAAGCAGACCTCAACGGAGTCCATAAAAAGACCACAGAAAAGTAGGTACCAGGTGACTTTCAATAAAAAGTTAGTCTGTAGGAACAACCGTTTTTAAAGTTGGCATTTAAAAATTTAAACACAACATTGAAGAAAGAGTAAGTTTATGGAGCAGGCATTTAATTTAATAATTATAACATGGTAGTGACAGTGTATCAGTGGGCCATGGCTGGCTGTTACATTTGTTACGCCTGTATTAATGTGTTTTAATCATGTGACCAGTTTCAACAAATGACTTAGAACAAAACAGTCTTAATATAATCACCAAGTATCCACAGCAAAAACTGCAGACGATAGAAATAAAACTGCCTGTCAAGTCTTTTTTTATTTGTCATTTTGTTAAATGCTTGTCTAAGCTCTGATGTGTTTTTTTATTGTGAACTGTGTCCAGTATTCATGTACTTCAAGATTATGTATATAATGTGTGTTGATACAACCGTCTCAGAAGATGTATTTTTCATAGATGACATGTTTTTGTCACTTATTTTACAACACATTAATCCCACTTCTGCAAAAGGTGCCCTCCTCAGTTGTCCATCCTCTCTTTTACATATGCATTTTCAAATGCGGGAACTAAAGGTTCCTTCAGAATAATGAGTTGAGAGCAGTCTTTGGGTCACAAGGTGAAAAGTTGTATGCGCACAAAAAAAAAAAGAGTGTGTTCCATAACCATCATGTTTGTTTTTTAGGAGTAAAAGAGGAGGTGGATCTGCTGGAAGCTAAACAGACAACAGAAACTGTGAACATGGAGGAATGTGAGAACAAGGACAACGAAGAAAACAGGAAAAATCAAAAGGTGAACATCAAGAAAGGGAGTGTTGAGAAATTACAAAATCACAAGACAACCGAAGAGAACTCTGGTGTCCCAGTGAGAGGACTGAGCAACCTTGGAAACACCTGTTTCTTTAATGCAGTCATTCAGGTAAGGTGTGCCTTACAAGATGCCTGTCCAAAGAGAAATTAAAGTCATCATTTGCTAATCATTGTCATTATGTTTCGCAGAATCTTTCTCAAACGCAGCTGTTAAGACAGATTATCATCAAAGCGACAGAAGAGAAAAGGAGTGTGGAGATCAAATCTGGCATCTGCTTGGATCTGGTGTGTTGTCATTATACACAAGTGTATTTTCAGTCCTAAAACAAGTACAAAAAATTGGCCTATTTTCCCTGTTCATTATTTTAAGCAGTTTTATTTTATATTTATTGCAGGAGCCTATACTAGTGGAGTTAGACCAGCCTGGATCCCTCAGTTTGTCTATGTGTAAACTACTCTACGAGATTCAAGAATCCAAAAAGGGAGTGGTAACGCCACGGGAGTTGTTCACGCAAGTTTGCAAAAAGTGAGTCTAGATCATGTGAGAGAGCACTGTTATGTGTCTTGTATATAAAATTCATAAAGATGCAGATAAAGATTTCATTTAATTCCTGCAGGGCAGCTAGATTTAAAGGATTTCAGCAGCAAGACAGCCAGGAGCTGTTGCGATATCTACTCGACGGGATGCGAGCTGAAGAACTTAAGGTGTGCATTCAGTTTTGTTTTGTTTTTTTAACTATGGATCCTGCACACAGCATGTGCCCGACTGGTTGAAGTGATTACACAGCAGAAGATTGTTTTGACATCAGAGCAGGGCTTAATTTGAGCCGGATCCTGCCGGAACAGGATCCAGCAACTCTTATTTTGACAGAGTGTGTTCTAGTGACTGTTATTTGGTAATTCTCAGGGTTATTAATAATAACGTTTTGAACAAATATGACTGCCTTGAACAAACAAAACTTATGTTGGATATGTAAACTGAAAATAATTGCATAGACACTCATTTTAAACACAACAGCCACTTACGAGCTTCTTAACATCACATATGCTCTGCCTCTTCAAGTAGCATTTCCGCCTCTACCCTTAAAAAATCTCCACCCCTAAAAGAGTGGTGGGGATGAGTGCCGACCGAGCTAACCAGGCAGTCGTACGTGTGCAGGAGCCCACAGGCAGGCGCCTGAAGGTTTTGCATGTGGAGTCGGACAACAACTAGCAAGGACGGAGTCGGGCTCCGCCTTACTTGACAGAACCGTCAAGTAAGGGGGAGGGGGATGCTTGCCAGAAGCAGTGCATTTATAAATGTAGATAAATGTAGGATGTTAAACAACATGTTAAAATACACCAAAATGCAGGAAAGTGCATCTACTTTATTCAAAATTTTCTGGGGGTGGACCTCCATACGCCCCTGTCAGCACACTCTTTACGTTCCGCCATCAATCAGTTTACAAATTAAGCCCTGTATCAGAGCTATACTGGAGTACGTGCACTGGAAGTTGTCCACTTATTGTGAATTGTAGAGAAAGTTTTGAGACTCGTCATTAAATAAAATTTTATCACATGATGATTGTTCAAATGAATTCTGCAAGAAATACATCCATCCATCCATCCATTTTCTTTACCCGCTTATTCCATTTTGGGTCACGGGGGTCGCTGGTGCCCATGTCCAACAATCACTGTGCGAGGGGCGGGGTACACCCTGGATGGGTCGCAAGTCCATCACAGGGCCACATAGAGACAAACGAGACAAACAACCATTCACTCTCTCACTCACACCTAGGGACAATTTAGAGTTACCAATTAGCCTAACATGCATGTTTTTGGACTGTGGGAGGAAACCGGAGTACCCGGAGAAAACCCACGCATGCACGGAGAGAACATGCAAACTCCACCCAGAAAGGCCCCTGGACCGGGGTTTGAACCAGGGACCTGCTCGCTGAGAGGCAGCAGCTCTACCAGTTGCGCCACCGTGCTGCCCCGCAAGAAATACAATGAAGCTAAATATCATTTTCCTCTTTAAATTGAAGTGCTTAGAAATTCTGCTGCTCGGAAGACTGGATATTTGAACATCTTTTAACATCTCAAGTTTATATTGTGTTCTAATTAAACTCATCAGTGGCCATAATCATCACTTTGTGTTTAAAATGTGTTCTACAGAGAGTAAGCACAGGGATAATGGAGGCATTGAAACGATCAAATAAAGGCACCGATGAAGAGCACCTGAAAGCACGATTAAAAGGTACTAACATCCTGAGCTCTGTCATATGAGACACGTTTTGTATTCCTCGTACAGCTTGTTGTGCACCAATGATTAGTTGTTGCCTCTGATTGTGTACTTCGATTTTCAGAGTATGAAAAAAATGGATTACCACAAAACTTTGTTGACCAAGTTTTTGGTGGTGAAATGACCAGCACCATAATGTGTGAGCAGTGCAAAACGGTACGTTCTGTCTCTCCGAACATTAAAGAGAACATTTTCTATAGTTATCACTAACAGTTACCACTATCTCACGCCCACAGGTGTCTGTAGTCACGGAGATGTTTTTGGATCTTTCCCTACCTGTTTCTGACGAGGTGAAGCAGACAGTGTTCTCTTTTTTAGGTTTATTGAAATAATTTTGTAAATGTTGTTTTTCTTGGGACTCCTCTTGCAGGCATACAGAAAGAAAAACCAAAAGAAAGAACTTCCGAAGAAGAATTCGTTAAGCCAGGATGGCACAACCAGCCCTGACTTGACCAGCGGAAATGACGACATATCCACTGGTGTCAGCAGCAAGTACCAGCAGAAAAAGGCTAAAAGGCAGCAAAAGAAGCAAGCGAAGGTGTTTGTTTACACTAATTTTAAGAAAGAAGTTTATACTGATGAGTAAACTTGTCTATATTCATTTTGTTTGACTCTTAGCAACAAAAGAGACAGCAGAAGCTGGACAGTAAAGTTACTCTGGACGTTCTGACATCTCCAAGCCGTGCGGAAAATGAGGAAATCGACGGTACTGAAGATAAAACGGACGTAAAAAACACCGATGCTGAACCACACGAAGAAACCTCAGTCAGTGACCCACATCCTGATCTAGGACAGGACCAAAATGCCTCGCGAGAAAAAGAGAACGGCGAGGATTCAGCGACAGACTGTGACTCGTTAGCTGCGTCACCAGTCAGCAACCGTTTTACTGCCCTGTCAGAAGAGCAGCGCTCACAGGACAGCACCTTGTGTGATAAAATGTCCGACATGGAGCTGGAAGAAGAGGACGACACGGCGCTGGTGGATAAAATGGAAAGAGTGGACCTGAATGACGCTTTCGTGGAAGATTCAGACGCTTTGGAACAAGGCGTGGAGAGAGAAAATGAAATGCTGGAGGCCAAAGAATATACAGTAACAAACCAAGACCCGGAGCTGGCCTTCAACACCCTGGCTACCAGAACACTTCCAGAGAAACAGGAGTGTTCAGTACAGTCGTGTCTTTTCCAGTTCACAGAAGTGGAAACTTTAACACAGAGTAATAGTTTGCTGTGTGTCACTTGCACTAAACAGCAGCAGGGTAAAGATAAAGTCAAAGGTACAAAGAATTACTCGTACAATAATGTTTTTGAAAAACGGCAAAAAAAGTTTCACTTTAGAACCAGTGTGGTAAATTTTCTCTTGTGATGCGTTCAGGAACCAAGAGCAATGTTTACACGGATGCCTTGAAGCAGATGCTGATCTCCTCTCCTCCAGCTGTCCTTACTCTTCATTTGAAAAGATTCCAGCAGGTGAAACAGATTGTTGCTGTGTTGTATTTTTGTGTATCACACATCCAGTTACTTTCAGACAAGTAGTTTCTGTCCACATCACTGCAAACCATCCATTATCTTTACCCGTTTGTTCCATTTTGGGTCACGGGGGTCGCTGGTGCCCATGTCCAGCAATCACTGTGCGAGGGGCGGGGTACACCCTGGACGGGTCGCAAGTCCATCGCAGGGCCACATAGAGACAAACAACCATTCACTCTCTCACTCACACCTAGGGACAATTTAGAGTTACCAATCAGCCTAACATGCATGTTTTTGGTCTGTGGGAGGAAACCGGAGTACCCGGAGAAAACCCACGCATGCACGGAGAGAACATGCAAACTCCACCCAGAAAGGCCCCCGGACCGGGGTTTGAACCAGGGACCTGCTCGCTGAGAGGCAGCAGCTCTACCAGTTGCGCCACCGTGCTGCCCTCACTGCAAACCGACTGTCTTTAAACATAGCCGTGTCTTTTTTTAAAAAAGACGAAACACAGTTTTGATGGAACTGCATTAACGCTTCTGTTGGTTTCATCTAGAATGGATACAGTATTTGTAAAGTCAACAGACACGTCCACTTTCCACTGATTCTGGACCTCGCTCCTTATTGTGCAGCCAAATGCAAGGTTAGTATAAGAAACAATCATTTTTTATTAAAACTAACAAGTTGTTGATAAGTAACATGCACTTTTTTCCTCACAGAACATTTCAGAGGGAGATGCTCAGATTTTGTACAGTTTATATGGTATCGTCGAGCACAGTGGAACAATGAGGTCTGGTCATTACACAGCCTATGTAAAAGTTCGTCCCGAGTATCATAAACCCTCATCTAATGGATTTACTAAAGAAGGTAGGTATGCCTAATTAATAGGGGGAGGGGGGTTAAACGATCTCCATCAACTCTTCGTTTTCCTTCAGGAGAAGCGGAGCCTCTCAGAGGAGTCTGGTTCCATGTCAGTGACACAAGTGTCCAGCCTGTGAGCGAGAGTAAAGTCCTGAGCTGCCAAGCCTACCTCCTCTTCTACGAAAGAATCTTCTAAGTCTTTTGTGCCTTTAAACTCAGGAAATAAACAACTAACTCACATGCTGCTTTAGTTTATGAACCCAAGTAATGTCAATCAGGACTTTGGAATAACAGAAAATAATTCACAGACATGACATTTATTAATAATGTCATCATATACTGTTTTGAGTGGTAAATACTGTGTCTGTATATGCCAGTTTCAAGGAAAATTGATAATGTGATTATCAATTAATGTGATAAACTTCACATTAACATTTAATGATAATGTGATCATGTAAATCATCATTGAATCAAGGGGATAGAAAGGTAAATAAACGTTTAGGTACAAGCATATGTCAAATATATCTGTGTATAAATATGTGTGTTACGTTTTTTTTTATGTTTTTTCACGTAATTAAATGATTTAAAATCATAACGCCTTTCTTGAATGGAGGCTGGGTACACACTGAGCATGCGCAGTAGATGCTGCTATTTTCCTGGTGCTGGAGTCACATGACAAGAAGAGGAAAGTCCTGCTTCGGTCAGCTACCGAACATTTACTGATGTCGGTTCAAATCTGCTAATATGGCAGGTCAGTGGACATTAGTTCTGTTTGAATAGACATTTTAAATGTAAAGTAAATTTAAAAGTCAGGTGGCTTTTCTTTTTTTTTAGTCCATCGAGACAAACGTATTCAGTACAGTATTCGAAACAGTAGCTAACGGTCCGGCCTAAGTTCCGCTGTTGAATATACTTAATTTGTGTCACTTTAACGTCTTAATGAACACATACTAGTTTATTATATCGCTTAATACATTTGGTTCTGAACATTTCCGTCGCGTTTCTCTTCCTGGCCCAGTTAAGTCCCTCAGCTAAGCATGAGTCAGCATTTTTATCGTTCAACTCGATGCCGAAGTTACAACATCAACAATGAATTTTTCCTGTCTGCACTTTGAAACAAACTTACAGACCTGGATGTGGAACCATATCACTACCAACAGTTTATAAATACATTATTTATAATTATATGTTAACGGGGTTGCGCTTTGTTTTAACCAAGTCACATAATTATATTGCTATAATGGGAAACCTGGCATTTAAGTCAACTTCAATTGGTTGTTAAAGCTATAATTTAGAGGGGGAAGTGACCTTATAGGCTGTTGGTGCACTGTTTTATAATAGGGTTATGAACAATTGTTAACCTATATATATATTATATATATAGTATTAGTTTTTCAATCAGGTGTTTCTCAATGAATCTCCCATTATTTTTTCCTAAAATTGCACATCTAGTAAGACATCAAGCTAAAATCAAGATGCACATGAGCTTTAACTATATAATAATTAATGTATATTATTATGTCAGCCAGTCTTTTTAATCCGGATAACTGGAAAGAAGACCATTGTGAATTCAAATTGATGTTTGTCATTGATTTGTTTGTACTAATCAATTAATTTAGTTGCAGAGGAGTTGCAATACGAATTGCTCACAATAAAAACACAAATAAGTTTTGGAGTTTTTTTGCATTGAAACGCGCTCCATAACTTTCCAGTCGCATAACAAAAGAACGTGCACCCATCCCTGTGTGTCTGCAAGCTGTATAAACCTTTACTTGTAACGCGGCCTCACTGTGACTCCTCAGGGTGAGCTTACAAGAACCATGACGCTCCAAGCTCCTCGCGTGTCAGTGTTCACCTTTCAGTCTGCGGTGCACAGCACCCACGTCCTGCAGTGTTTGAATGAGCAGCGGCTGCAGGACGTTTTGTGCGACGTGACGGTGGCGGTGGAAGACGGGAGCTTTCGGGCTCATTGCTCTGTCTTGGCCTCGTGCAGCGAATACTTCCGCGGCAGGGTTACCAGTGTCACCAGACAGAATCCAGTCATCACCTTGCCTGATGAGGTTTGTGTCCTCATGTTCATAACAGTTATTTGGGTTTGTGCACGATTGTATTATGTTTGTTAAGAAACTAGGTCAAATGTTTTGTATTATAAATAAAAATGAAAGGCAGTTATTTCAGAGCAGGCGTGTAACACCACTGCTGAGACTCATGCCCCGCACTGCTTTCAAGCAGGCCAAATTCCATTGTCACGTTTTAAAGTTGCGTGCGTGACTCGCGGCTTAACAATTTTCTGCTTTTTCCTTCCTCCACAGGTGACTGTGGAGGGGTTTGAACCTCTGCTTCAATTTGCCTACACATCAAAGCTGCTTTTCACCAAAGAAAACATTCACGCTATTCAAACCAGTGCTGAGATTTTAGGATTTCACAACTTGGAGTCGGCTTGCTTTGATTTCCTCATCCCAAAGTTTTCCGAGGGTAAAAGAAGCTCACAGGAGGTCAGGCATAAAGTCTGCTGCCAGAGCTGGGTGCACAGTGCCAGTTTCGGCTCCAGTGTGGGAAGTAGCCATGCAGAATCATTCGACTCGCACAGCTCCGTGACTTCAGGAGGTGACGAGCAAACGGACTTCCCGTCACAGTGCCATCAGAGTCAGACGAACGGTGGGGAGGAATCGTTTTGTTTCGAGAACTGTGGGCCACAAATGGCTTCCTTATCTCTAGAGTTAGCAGCAAACGGCGTGTGCCCCATGTTGTCCCTGCCATGCCCAGGCCCTGACAAGGCAGATCAGTTTTATGAAAAGAACATTTTACAGATGGGAGATGTGTGCAATCAAAGCGACTTGGGTTTGGCAAGCTGCAACTTACAGTGCGAGCCGTCAGCACCAGGTGACGTTAGTCTAACAGAAATGACTGAGGCAGCGAGCTGCGATAATAAAGAGACTATTGATTTGCTTGGGGCTGAAGCCTGCAGTAACTCTGGCTCATGTCCTCTGAAGACATCAGGGGCAGAACGTTGTAATTTAGTATTAAAGCAGAGCGAGGTTTGTCCTGTACAGGAACCTGCAGGTGATCTCTCAGATCCATCTCTAGCTGATTTAGAGCACGAGGAGCGAAGCCGTGTGGAGAGGGAAGTGGCTGAACATTTAGCTAAGGGCTTTTGGCCTGACCTCAGCACATCATGTCAGGCTCCACCGCAGTCTCTCGATGCTATGAATCAAAACAGTTTGGCAAAAGCATCAGACTTCCACTGGCTTAAACAGTTTGACCTGAGCTCCAGTGTAGGAGACTGCCCGTTCTTCAAGGACATTGGGACAAGCGATGACCCTGGGACGCACACGGATGACTTGTCCCATGCTGAGAAGAGTCCCTGCTTGTCTTCACTAAATTCTGGTGATGAATCCGAAATGGACACAGATGGAGATACCGAGGCCAACACCAAAAGAGCAGCAGAGGTCATTGTGATGCACCACTGCTCTTTTTTTTTTTTTAAAACAAACATTAATAAAATAAAATGAAAAATTTTAACTTTTAAACCTCCTTAATTCAGATTCAGCTCCCGTTCCCAGTAAAGCAGATCTCAGAGATGAGTAGAAGTGCGTTCCAGCAGCTTTTGAGGGACCATCGCCTGACGTCAGATCAGCTCGAGTTTGTTCACGATGTCCGCCGGCGAAGCAAGAACCGCGTGGCTGCGCAGCGCTGTCGTAAGAGGAAACTCGACGGCATACAACAGCTGGAATGCGAATTAAAAAAATTAGTAAGTTGACCGCCGTGTGTTCAGCATTCTCTAAACGACATCAAACACGACGACAAGTATTTTTCTGTACAGTAGACCCTCGCTACTTCGCAGTTCGACTTTCGCAGGCTTGCCGTTTCGCGGTTTTTCAAAATAAGAGTGGACATGACACACAGTTGGCTGATTGATGGATGAGCCACGCGAGCAGCATGGATTGTTTATTTCAAATAAATCATTTTAAATGATTCAGCATCTTTGTGCAGCCCACAGGTGCAGGAGAAGCTCCCTCTGCAGCCTGTCATGATCTCCTCTCTGCCACGCCCACATTTGGCTGAAGCAGCTTCGAAGAGTTAACCCTTTGCTGTCCAGATGCACTTCTCTACAATTTAAATTTAAATTCTGTAAACGATCCATGCTGCATATTCATTTTCACTTATCATGGGGGGCGTTGTCCCTTAAACCCCGTGATAAACGAGGGACTACTGTACGTTGGATTTTGTTTATTGACCTCAGTCAGGCAGGGTTTATACAATTATTCATATAAAGAAGTGGTTGGTCTCTATTTGTGTTTGGTCATCTTAACTCTTTAACAAGTTTTCATTTACTGCCTCCACATTATGATTCATTTGTGAACCCGCTTGTTTGTTGACTTACAAATTTTATCAATGATAATTGTTTAGAAGAAAATTTTTTGTGTGTTTCAGTGAAGTCAGCAGCCAGTGGACGTTTCATCATTTGTCAGAGATGGGAAAGTTATTAAGCTTTACCTGTAAATGGTCAATTAGTTCTAATTTAGTAATTTTACGTAAAAATATTAAAACCAGACTTTTAAATGTAAAGTTGTGCCTAAAAATTAGTGCTTTTTTTTTTGGCTATTAAGTGTAACATGTACTTTATGAACATAAAAGAGAGCAGAACTTGGCTGTTTTAAATGATGAAGGTAAAACTGAATATTTAAGTGTCACGTGAGTGTTTTTATTCACTTATCTTCGTAAATTCTTTAAAAGATAGGTCATCACAATGAGCAACATATGTGTAAGTCTAGAACTATTAATGGTTAAAGCAAATGTTATTGTTGCTCCTCAAGGAGTTCCCTTCTTTGACATGTAGAGGTTTTCACACATCAATCGAGCTTTTACAGTTCACCAAAAAAAGAAAAAACTTTTCAGATTAAATCGTTTCACGTCATGTAAAATAAAAAGCCGTTTAAATTTAAAGTGAGCCCCAATGAGGCGTGAGTGATCTTGCTGTCGCTCTCTCCACAGAAAAACGAGAAAGAGCGTCTGCTTCAGGAGCAAAACGAGCTGCAGGAAAGCCTGGCAAAGATGCAGCAGAGCCTGTGTGGTCTGTATAAGAGTGTCAACATGGAGTGCACTTCTGACCAGGACCACTTGCAACTTCTTGCCAAGCTCTCTTCGTCAGACTTGCCCATCTCTTCTCCCAACCTCGTGGAAAAAAGCAAAGAGTCGCAGATCGCCATAGCGATGATGACTTCCAGGTCAGAGTGCGATCAAAGCGTGCGACCTTCGGACTCGTCACAAACTGGAGAATGACCGGTCAGGACAGAGGCGGTCCTGCGCCTGCCTCTGTGCTCGGTGTCCGTTCGGACACGACCAGCAGCTTGTAAATCAGTTCATGTTTCATTCGGGGGGTTTTAAAGCGTGCAGGAGCAAACGGTTCTGTTTAATTAGGCTATTTTTGAAAAGACGCTTTCCTGTGATTTTTTTTTTGAATATTTTTTTTTAGTATGACGGTGTTTTGAATTTACTCAAGTGTCAAACATTTAGTTGCTGTCCGACAATTTTCAGTCAGGTCATCAGGACGGTTTCTTTTTTGCTGAGACATTTCGTCCTTCATCCAAAGGACTTCTTCAGTCCAAGGAGTCACCAACAAACTGGGGTCCCATAAATACCACACTCCCATAGTGGGGGAAAAAAAATAAAAAAAATAAAGCCGTTTGCTGGTGATAAGATGGTTTCCGGGCCCACCCCCTCCCCTGTCAACTCCTCTGAGGCAGCCATACCAAAGTGGCTCTGCTCAGTAATCCAGGTACAAATCCAACAGTGTTCATCACGAAGAACGAAACGTCTCAGCAAAAAGGAAACCATCCAGATGACCTGACTGAACTTTGTTGGATTTGTACCTGGATTATTGAGCATGAACTTTGATGTTTTGTTGCTGTGTTTCATTTCCTGCACAACTCTGAAGTAAATACAGATCTACTTAAAATCTTTGAAGGTTCAGGCAGTTTTTAGGCTTTTCTTCAGAAATGTTCAGTCACAATTTGGGATTTTACATTTCATCCTAAGAAATTTAATGGTCATTCTCAGGGAAAATAACTGTATTTTGAATCTTTCATCTCACGCTTACAAACACCCATCATATGCATATAGGACTTTATTTTCATTTGTTTCCATTAATAAATGTATTATCAGTTTTACTGAAACTACAGTTTCAACCATGTGAATAAACATGCACAAAACTAACCTTTTGCTAAGGTTGCTGGTGTAGCTTTTGAAAACAACGTTAATTGAATGCAGTCTTTAAGCTGCTTCTCTTAATTTGAAGAATGGTTCAGAGTGTTCAAATGTCACAGGATAACATAAAAAGTTGTGCTATTTGTTTTTAATGTGCCTTCAACTTCAGTATATGATCGGTTCGAAAGAATATTGTTTTAACCTCGCCTCAAGCATCGTTGCACATTAATCCAGAGCTAATGTTTAGGTCTGTCTGCATGTTGAGCTTTTTTATCAAATGTTTTTATAATTACTGACTTAAATAAACATTTTATTACTATTAAGCTTTTCTGTTTTAACTCTCAGCCATTAATTTGTCACCGTTTTATGTGTGAATATACTTTCAGATTTTGGCCAGTAGATGGAAGTACAGTTCTACCTCACAGCTCTGCTAACTGCCTTTTAGAAAACCAAATAATGCACATGGCCGTGCAGAAGGCTGAACTTGAGAACAAGTTTAGCTGAACCTGACACCAAATATTTAAAATAAGCAAAGATAACCACAGATAGCAAGTCAAGTCAAACTTTATTTGTGAAGCACATGTCACGCAGAGCAACCCAAGACAGGAAGTTAACAAAAAGTAAATTTTCTCAGCTCTGCAGTTAAATAGTGCAGCGTTTTTCAAAGTGGGGGCCGCGGCCCCCTAGTGGCACCAAAGGGGCCTCAGAAAGCTGGAGAGAAGAAGATAAAAAAAATAGTAATAATAATAATAGGGCAATCTATCTGTCATTTCCAGATAAACATGCTTGAGAGAGACGTTAGATTAGTTTTGTTTGTTCTTCTGGTCAACAGTTGTTGTTTTTTCATTGGGAATATAATAAATACAGTGTTTAAAACATGTTAGTTTATAACATTTTTATGCTCAGCTGTAATAATTTATTGAATATAGTGAATAAAAAGTTGATGTTTCATTAAGTAATTTGTAGCATTGTTTGTGGGTTTGCAAGGGGCGCCTCAGCCTGAAGCTCATGCTGTTTGGGGGGGCCATGGCATGGAAAAGTTTGGGAACCCCTGCAATAGTGGACTTATCAGAATTTGTCCTAACTGCTGAATAATAGCAAAACATTGTTTTTACACAATGTCAATCATGTATGCTGCTAATAACATTATTAATGCCAGATATGTCCAAAATGCATTTTTGAAGTGTCTTATATGAAACAAAACTGTGGTCGTGACACAAAAACATGGGATTTTGTTTGTTTGTTTTGTTACATCTCACCATTTTTGTCTGACACAATATTCACTTCTGTAAACAAAAAAGATTCCAACAAACATTTACAAAAATGCCTGTCCAAAGATCCTTTATTTAAAATGTCCGTCCAACTATTATCTTTTACCCGCTTCTTCTTTTGTGGCGTTGCGGGGGTCACTGGTGCCCATGTCCAGCCATCACTGTACGAGAGGACACCCTGGACAGGTCTCCAGTCCATCACAGGGACACATAGAGACAAACAACCATTCACTCTCACTCACACCTAGAGACAGTTTAGTTACCAGTCAGCCTAACAAGCATGTTTCTGGTCTGTGAGAGGAAACTGGAGTACCTGGAGAAAACCCACGCATGTACAGAGAACATGCAAACCAGAAAGGTCCACGGCTGGGATTCGACCCAGTGACCTTCTCACTAAGAGGCAACAGCTCTGTCAACTGCACCACCGTGCTGCCCTTTATTTAAAGCAGTGCTAGAAATGTATTTAACTTGGTGTTTTTAAAACTCAGTGGATATCCATTTTTGAGCTGTCGAGAAACACAAGATCAAAGTTTCTTAAAGTTGTTGAGCTCAGACTTAAAGCAATAACATGAAGTGAAACTGGTTAGATATGACTTCTTATTTTAAAGTATTACCTAACACCTAAAGCGAATGAATCAGAAAAAAAAATCACTTTTAAGAAAGTGTTGGCGATGTTTAGCAGTTTTGTCAAAATGCTTTCCCCTGATATAATTTAACATTTTGTATATGTTTAAGTGGGGTCGCACTTGGAAACAATAAAAGAAGCAACAGCATTGTGTTTGCTTCATACAATAAAACTCAAGATTGAAGTGGTAAATGTTAGAAACAGCAGAACGTAAAGTGTAAAAACCGTCTTTGAAAAAACACACGTACACTGAGAGCCTGATGTAAAGCTGAGACACTGAACTAAACTGCATGAACTCCGAAGGATTACATAACGACTGTAGCACAAACTCAAACGAGGTCGTCTTGTGCTGCTCTGCCGCACATCAGTAAATACTGTTTTTAATTAGTGCAGCGTTGCAACACCACTACGAGTGCATGTATCACTGAATTTCCACTTCAAACCTAGGGTACGTTTTCCCCGTATCAACGTCTCCTACTCACAGTTTAGATCTTGGAGCATTGTGGTGCAATAGTAAGATTATCCGGTTTTTCCAAGCTAAACGAGTCTTGATTTGAGGCGGAAACAGCTGTGCGCCATGGCAAGGTCAGAGGCCCATAATCCGCGGCCTCATTCATGCAAGATTAAAAACCTGCTCTGAGTTCTGATTAAGAATGCAGGGTTAGAAGATTAAAGACCAGCAAACAAAATGAAAGCAGTTAAAGCCCAATCCTGGAATTCATCAGAATAGCGAAAACCTTAAACGGTCATAACGTGACACTAATCCAAAGCCCGCTGTATCTGTCTTGATGAATCTTGTGTGTTAGAGCCTATAAATTTCCCTTTAGCCCAAATATCTTGACTATCTTTTTTGTTTCTGCATTGTTATATTCCACATCTTTCCCATTTTTATTTTTTTTATTTTTTTTACAATTAAAAGTTGCTTGAGTAGAATTTTTTTTTGTTTAAACTGAATATCTTTTTAATAAAGTTTTATAAACTGTGTATATTTTTGTGTAATTTAAAAATCTTTGTCCTGATCCTTAAGAGTCCACTTTAGTTTGCTAGCAGAGTTGGAAAAAAGGAGAACAAATAATTAGGAATCATAAGCTTGAGTACAAACTCTCTAAATCTTAGCGTGTAAATGATAATATGATGTTTGCTCATGAGCTGGACTTGCAGACAGCTGTTTAAATGGCACAAATAGAAGTGCTGTCTGACATATCTTTCTTATAGGCTACTTTAAGCCAGAAGCTGTTTAGACGCCATGTCTAGTTTAGCTTAAAAAATGTATCTGAAGCTAAATCATTGATATAATTAGCAGATTTAAGTCGGACGCAACAATTGGTTTTTAAATAAATTCTTTGTAACAAAAGAAAAAAATACCTAGAAATAGAAATTGTGGTCCCGATTTCATTCTAAGCCCAAGACTAAAGAATTAAAGAGTTAATAGGACAAGTAAAACCTGAATATTTCTCTAACACATGTATGATCTCTTGTAAAGTTATAAACTACTGAACTTCTGCATCCTTACTGATTACAAACCAAAGTGACTATGAACTTCAGTTTCATGGCAGTGCTGCGTAGTGGCAACATCCCATTGACAAGATTATATAACCAAGGACGATAATACTGTCATCTTCAAGAGAAATTTAAAAAAAAAAAAAACTGCAGGGGACATGGTGACCCCAGTAATCTAGAATCCCCATACCAGTCAGATTACCAGCAGGTTGAACAGTTATGATTTACTAAAGTCATACTGCGTCAGAGAATTATTTACAATAATGGTTTAAATTCTGTGATAAATGATTTCTGAAAAATCAAAAGTGATGCACACACTTGAAAAAATAAATTTAGCAATGAAGAAGTCTACATTTTTCATCTAAATTGTCAAAATTCAAAATAATCCCATTTAATATAATGATACATGCATGTACATATAGTAAAACTAAAAGCAGGTGAGAGTGCGCACGTTAAATATCTAGATGCAATGTGTGTGTATTTAACGTGGACTGTCCTGCATTTCAGTCCTTAATGTGACACAAGTTCCATAATAGGGACACAAAACCAGCAAGGCTCCGTTTTGGCTGTCGGATTAGAGCAAGAAGAATCTCACTGTATTTGCAGGATTTTCTAATCTGTCTGTCTGTCGCGGCTGCTAATGTTTTACATCAGCTTTGTGCAATGTGTGTTGATAATCCACAACCTTCTGAGGATGTTATGTAAAAGCCTAAGCCTGCACGAGGTGACCACTAGTCTGATCAGTGTCAAAGAGCAAGGTGTCGAAATGCAAGAAGCTTCTTTTGCATGTGCGTTGTTAGTTTGAAGGAAAAAGCTTTGACGAAATTATAATCCTGGAAATATAAAGCCAAGTGCACAAACAAATGTGCATTAAACAAAGAAAGTAGAAGCAAAACTCTCCTTAAATCTAATTGTCTGGGACATTTGCCTAAAAAAATAACATTCAAACAAACAAAAGTCAAAGGTTTAATGTGTTCTTCTCACATAATCGTAGTCAACCAGTAACAGTTTCAAACAAAAAACTTTTACGAGCACATTCATAAACTTCAAATGGGACCCCCCTCCCCCCCAAAAAAAGAAAAGACATCAACCCATTTTATAAATACATTATTAAGGGAACTCAGTCATAAGCAATTTTTTGAAATAAATGGCGATGTACATCAAAGTCTGTGCAATGTTATACTGAAATGGAAAACCTGTGAAACCCACAGCAGTTACTGAAGTATTATGGCAAACGTGTCTAAACCATCATTCACCCGCAGTATAATGGCATAACAATAAAACTTCACACGTTAAAATGATTTTTGCAACAACAACAACAACAAAAAAAAGCAGCAAGGCCAAAATGGTCAAGTATCACAACTGCAATCATTTGTCATCAGAAAAAAAACAAGTATTTTAATGTATTCTTCCAATCAAGACTAACGTGTGTGTGCTCTATAGAATCTACCACTACACAAAACTCTCTTTTAAAAACTTGTTTTGATTGTAACATTGCAGTTTAAAAGATCTACGTTTATTCAGACTTCACCTGGCCTTCTGATTAGTGTAGTCCTGTAAAGACAATAACAAACGTGTACTAGGTGCAATAAAGTCTTTGAACGAGTCCCCGGTTTTACTAATACTTGTTGTGCCACTCGCACTGACCAACACTCACCTCCTCAATGTCCAAGTTTTTCCTGGATTTGTAAATAAACTCTCCGATCGCAACAAAAACTGAGAGGACAAGTCCAGCTGCCAACACAATAAAGATTCCCCCTATGTTCTCCACACCCAAAGCACTGGCCTCCTTGCTGTCCTCTTCTGGACAGCCATTCCCCCTCCACCATTTCTCCTTCATCATGTGCAGCTTCCCTTCCTCCTGAAGTTGCAAGATGGCAATGGTGACCTTGTCTCTGTATGGGGAGCCTAGAGCAAGAAACACCAGGATGATGTTGAAATAATGCTCGGATCATGTTGACCTGAAAAGCATTTATTCGTCATCAGTTAGTCATCTTGTCTCACCAATTGGAGTTCCCACACCGTAGCCCTTGGAATCTATCAAGCCTCCAATCTGTGTGAGGTTGCAGTTACGCTGGCTGATGTACTCAATGCTGGTTGACTCCATCAGAAGAGCGTAATCTGTGGTGAGGACCCTCTGAATCCCCTCCCGGTTGTTTTTCACCAACGCTGTGTTTTTCCTGCTGCTCATAAACGCCCACATTTTTTCATACGTTGAGATCTTGGATTTCTGTGGAACCACAGTCAGATTTTGTGAACAATTAAAAATACGATTAACACAAAAAACAACAGTTTCAACTAGTGTTTGTTTGTCAATTGAAAATAAATTGTAAATTAAAAAATAAAGTATTCCCTATTGGACCTGTTTAATACTTGGTAGTATCCCCTTTTATGTTCAGTTAAGCTTCAGGATGAACTTTAGGCTTGATTGTATAAAATCTACTGTATTTTTTGGACTATAAGGCACACTGGATTATAAGGCGCAATATCAATGAACGGGTCTGTTTTCATACATAAGGCGCATTAAGCGAAACAAAACAGCCAGATAAGTCAAATTTTATTCCACTCATTCACAATAACCACATAAAATCAGTTCGAGGTCAGTAAGCACAACCAGAATTAATACATAAGGTGCACCGGATTATAAGGCTCACTGTATAAGTACAGTCCATTTACCATTAGGGCGGCTGTGGCTGAGTGGTTAGAGCAGTCGTCCTCCAATGCAAGAGTTGGGGGTTGAATCCACCAGCTGCCACATGCCGAAGTGTCCCTGGGCAAGACACTGAACCCCTCCTTGCCTCTGATGTGTGTCCCATTGGTGTATGAATGTGATAAAGCTCTGATTAGTCTCACTAGAAGGACTTGTTCAATTAGCTTTGTAGAGATCTAGTAGAGTGCTGTGTGAATGGGTAAATGAGGCACAGATTGTAGTGTAAAGTGCTTTGAGTATCTTGATCAGATAGAAAAGCGCTATATAAGTACAGTCCATTTACCCTTTACTGTCGATTTTTGAGAAAATTAAAGGATTTTAAGTGCAGCTTATAGTCCGAAAAATACAAAGCTCTACTTTTCTATCTTTTATCAGAACTCGTATGACTGATGGCTAAAAGATTAAATACATCAGGCTAAATAATATCATACAAAACTGTCTAATTTGTATCATTTCTAAGTATCGTTTTTGTATTCGTTGTAAAACAAAAGGCAGATTACCTTAAAAAAAGTCATAGTGGAGCCATCTCTTACAGCCCCATACTCTATTTTTGTTTGCTTGGCCAAGTCGTCTGCAGAATCGATCGGTGAGTCCATTCTCTCCACAGTGAGGAAGGCGGCCAAATTGGCGGTATATGAGGAGATTATAATAAGTGTAAAGAACCACCATATTCCTCCAACTATCCTTGTTGAAAGGGCCTTTGGCATTAGTTCAGATCCTGTTAAGTATCAAGAAGTGTTAGAATACTCATTCCCAGCAATAAAAATGACAAATCATGTACTTTTTATACATAACAAAGCAAAGTCATCAAATCAATTACCACAGTTATTCCCATTTGCAAACATTAATCCTATAGTTAAATATGCTTAGTCAAAAGGGTGCTTAATTAAATGTAAAAGCAGCATAAAACATGATAGATTAATAATAACTATAAGTATACCTTGCTGCATGAGGGCTCCAACTCCAAACCAGACACTGTTGATTAGAGTGAAGTTGTTTTCCACCACGTCTGAGTCTGGATTACAGGGGTGAGGGTTGTACCACTCATATGGAGTGAACCTGAAAGTATAGAATTAAACAGTTGTGATGAGATACAAAATATTCAACAGATAAAATCGAAACTGCTAACATCTACTCAACCTGCTTAAAGCCCATTTTTTCCAGCTTTTTTCCCCAAACTTGCGATGCAAACAATAAATGGTCTACAATGCTGCATCCACGTCTATATTTACTGTAGCAATCTAAAACAGTGTCCCTGCTAGGTGGCCAAGTTAGTTTTAATAAAGAGTTAAACACATAACACTTGTAAGCTGAATGAGTTTGTCACAGTTTACACTCTGTTTTGTCCTTTTCTCATCACTCTGTTCACTGTTTGACTTTTTCCTCTCTGCTCTCCTGGGTTTTTCCTCTGCTGCTTCTACCAGCCTCTTTACATGCCACACCTCTCTCTCTCTCTGATTGCTGCTGATGGTTTCCACCTGTTTCTGGGTGTATATATACTTCCTGCTTTCTCCACTACATTGCCAGATCAACTGCTTGCTTCCAGCCACAGTTATCCAGCGTACTCTCTTTGTTCACAGCTCTTTAATCTTGATCCACGCCTGTTTCCCTCAACCACGCTTTTTGCCTGTCCCTTTTGTGCCTCAGCCTTCTGACCTTGTTGACGGCCTACGCCTGTTTTTGGATTTTGCCTTTGCCTCTCCCTATCAGTACTCTCTCCTCTTCTGATCCCGTGTATGAACCCTGCTCATCCTCGACTACGCCTCTGGATTTCCCTTGGTCTCTGCAGCTCTGTGTCTCCGCTGGAGCATCCCGTTACAACAAGAAAGGTTAGTGTTTCATCAGACCGTCTGTATTCAGATAACTACTCGTTATTCTGTCAAACACTAACTTTTCCACTCCGTATCATTTTAGATACAGTTCCTGCCCCTGGACCTGAGACATCAGAAGCTGTTTATTTACTCAAACATTTTAAAAACCTTTCTGAGTCTGTGTGTAGGATCCTCTGCCATCAGATCTCTAACAGAGTTGTCTTAGTTTTAAAGAAGTTTACCTGGCAATGACAAACAGCACACAGCTGACACCAAGGCACGCCAGCAGCACATACATCCAGATGTCAGGAGAGAGTGGGTTAAGAAAGGAGAACACTCCTGGGTTGGTGCCATTAGGTTTGTGGTACAGGATGCTAATTCCCAGCGTCATGAAGGGCTTGGAAAAATCTATCACCTTTTCTCTGACATATGTGATAGTGAGAGGGGCCACAGCTAGGTCAGCCACCTGGGACAGAGCAAAATCTCAGCAATCTTCTTCACCCTTTATCCTTAGCTGCTCTAACAATAAACTGATCATTACTTACATGATCTATGAGTTCTCGAACCATGCCGTTCCACTCGCCCTTGTCATTCTGAGCTCCATACTTTCCATCTGACACCAGCTTTACCTCATAGGAGAAGCCCAAAATGTTGGAGAGCTCTTTGAGCAGGTCCAGGCAGTAACCCTCAAAGCGGTCATTCCCATATAGCGGCTTATCAGATTTTTTATACATGACATAAGGATTTTCCTAGTAGAAAAATACAACAATGCAATGGATTAGTTTCAGACTGAAACATGTCTGGCCAAATGTTTGCTGATAAAAAAAAATTACATTGATCATACCAGAATAGTAGTGACAATAAGGGTCCTATTGGCCATTGAGTCTGTAATGTTTGTGGAAGAGTCCTTGGTGGTTTCTGTTAAATTAAGGCCCATCTGGGAGTTCCAGATACCAATCTGTAAAAATTAAAATGTTTAAATAACTGCACTGACAGGACAATAAACATTTATTGCCCAAGAGACCCATGTACAATCAAGGATGGTAATACCAAGGGAAAAGGAACAGGTTGTAGCAAAAAAAAAACTACATTAGAATAACAAACAGGGGAGAGAGCCATGTCAGGAAAAGAAGGGAAGGGAACAAAGCACTATATCATATAAAAATCTGAACTAATTGCTCAGTACAAGCATTTCTTCCCACCAGTGAATCATATTTTCTTTTGTACATGGGGAAGATGGGGGTAAATGAATCGTCTATTCGTCTGCCCAGGCAGTTTTGAATACAGACCTTTTTCCACACTTTATTCAAGCGGCTGCCCGTCATTGACTTGCAGAAACAGTAAGGAGAAAGCAATTTACTCACTGAACCTCAAGCTTCAAAACAAGAACAAGACTGACAAATTCTGACTTTTAGGCAAATATAAAAGAATAACTCCTCAGGTAACACCTTTGATTCAAATTATTTCAGCTTTTACTTTCTACTGAGTTCACGTGACTGCAATTTCTTTGTAGTGATGAGAGACCTAACAGGTAACCGATTCTTTAATGACCTGCCAACATGTAGAGCAGAATTGTTGGTGTGATTAAAGGAGCACCAAAACAACGAGCTGAAAAAGGCAACTATTACAATATGTAGTGTTGTGTGAAAACATTTCCTAACATTTCAAGTCAAAATTAGACATCTGATATCAAGATTTATGTACATTTCAGCAAATTATATTGTATATTTTTTTTTCTGCAGGTAATTTTTCTACAAATTTACTCTTAAAAAAGGTGCAATAAATAAAAGCTTCCTTGTTAGCGTACACAAGATCTACTCTGTGCAGATCTGCATGAATGTCAATTCTTAACAATTCTGACAGTGAGTTCACCTTCTCCAAGCCGTCCTCCTTCAGACTGATGACATCTAAATCAAATTCTTTCCGCAGACCATCTGTCTTGTTTATAATTATTTGTCCTGTCAAACCGTCCCATTGCGTCTGTGGCCAAGAGAAGACAGAAACACAATTAATGAATCTCTCAGCTTTTGTTTTAGTCACAGAAATGATTGCAAAATCAAGCACAGTCCCAGATAAATTCACAAGCACATAACGTACAAAATGAGTAATTAACGAGTTCTTTATTAACTCAAGAACACTGACAAAGACTAATTGCATTTAAATAAATGTTTTTGCGATGGCTGGACCCTCGATGGAAATATGACCTGTCTGGGTCTTATATCTAGGTCATTGGGACGTGATGCAGCTTCTGACTGTTTAACTGCAGAGCAGGAATGTTGCTCAGATAAATTAGAAAACTTGATGATAAAATGAGCTCAGTAGAATAACAGGTAGGTTAAACATTTCACTATGGTCCAAAAAACTCAGTTGTCAGTTTTTATCACAAATCATAGGCTGTCAGGCTGTTTGTTCAGGCTACTGTTTAATACACCATATTATTTTACATTATTATTGTTTACTGCATATCTTAGATCCTTATATACTGTTTCCTTGTTTTATACTTTATGTTTTTGCTATTTTGGAATGTCACTGGGACATTGAGTACACAATTTTGTTCTACCTCATGTACCACATGTGATACGAATGACAATAAAGAACCTTGAACCTTTCTACTAATCCTGATTGTAAAATTGTAAATGTAAATGCAAGACCGTTTCACAGTTTCTCATGCATGAACATAATGGTTTATTAAAAGATTAATGGTACTGTACATGGACTGTACTTATGTAGCGCCTTTCTGTCTTATGAAGATACTCAAACACAACACAACACAATCTGTGTCCTCATTTACCCGTTCAATCAGCACTCTACTAGATCTATACAGAGAATAATCAGTAATTTATCACATTCATATACACCGATGGGACACACATTGGAGGCAATGACGAGTTCAGTGTCTTGCCCAGGGACACTTTGGCATGTGACTGCTGGTGGAATCAAACCCCCAACTCTTGCATTGGAGGACAGCTGCTCTAACCACTCAGCCACAGTCGCCCCAAATCAGAGGCTAACTATATCAAATGTGGGACGGTGCCATTTGGTTATTTCTGAAGGACTTGTAAGGGACACCTTATTATGCATTAGAGGAGTGACACAAATCAGATGACGTATTAAAAAAAAAAAAGGTAATCCAAAACCAATCATACAGAAGCTTCTGGGTACAATCTGTAAGATAGTGTGGAAAACTATAACCTGGATTCAGAAAGTGTTGTACCATCATGTAAAATGTAAAGAAAACATTTGAAATCTCACAAGTCCTAATAAGGTATAATTTCTTACTTTACATATGTTATGTTTGCCAGGTTGCAATGTTTTTATTTCACACAACGGCTACTCTTTTGGAATTAGAGTTATAATTTTAGTTGTCTTATGATCATGTTTGTGATAACACAATATGCTCATTTAAATACACACCCTGAACTCAAATTTGGGTTGAGTAAAAATGATTCATTTTGACTTTCTGAAAGAAAAATATATATATAAATAAATCTCGAGCGTAAGTACCACAAACACTTTTTGAATTTTGTTTTGAATTAGATTTTCATCTACATCAAATCTTGTTAAGAATATTGATGGAAGCACAATTTCCCATTTGAACACAAACAAACTCTAGGACTCAAACTTAAACCTGGTCACACGACAAGAAACATGTTTGGGAAGTCCCAGGATATTTGTCAGTGAAGCTGCTCTGTGATTAGTCTGTTTCACCGTCTTGTTGCTCACAGCTGTCACATGTACTCCAGCCCTAAGTCCAGATTTATTCTTCTTGTTAAATCTCGTTTTAAATCCTCACCAATCAAAAAGGTCTCTGTCCCGACCATGTGTTGGGGATCTTTACTGTACATGTAGGGCTGAAATGGATCTTCTCTGACTGGAAAATCCAGATAGTAAAAGGTAAGTACAGGTAACTAAGAGTTGGGCCTAGAGAGAAAACCTTGTTACCGTATTTTTCGGACTATAAAGCGCACTTGAAATCCTTGAATTTTTCTCAGAAATTGACAGTGAGCCTTACTTACTATAATCCAATCCGCCTTATATACAGTATTAATTCTGGTTGTGCTTACTGACCTCGAACCACTTTTATGTGTACACGACGCTCAAAAATATGTCAAAATGAGCTTATTTTGCTTAATGCGCCTTGTAATCTGTCTGTTATAGTCCAAACAATACAGTAAATATTGATTAAAGTTCAAGTACAACAGACTTTAAGATAAGAACTATATAAATTAGCTTTGCCAAAAAGTGTCTTTCTACAATAAAAGCATGAGGCTGCATTATTTCCTGCAGGAGGGGTTGTCCCTTTGCTGACCGCAGTAGCGGAGTGCAGGCTACGCTGCAGCAGCTCTGTGGATTCAATTTTTGCACAAAAGCACATTTTGTGTTAAACTCACATCACAAAGTTGAAAGGTTATACCAGGATTTATTTTATTGTTTAAGTTTAACTTTGTGCACTAAGAATATGCAGCTGTTTCGGATAAATTGACGTTGAAACACAACAAAATGTGTTAATTTGTCAACTTGCTGTTCGTAGAGGTTTGTTAAATACTTTCTATAAGTCAGTGGGTTCCAAACTTTTTGGCTTCTGACCCCCAAAATGGGACTAATAATAAAGGCTTGTGACCCCATCCTTTGCTGATTTAAATACAAATTTAGTTAATAACCCTGTTAATCCAGGACATAATAACAACACAAACACAATCTCCTATTTTATATATTTTAGGATTCATGATTTTATTCGTTTTAACTGTTATGGTGACAATATGTCATAAGCAATCATTGCTAAATTCAACATAACATGACATATGGAGATAATCTAACAACCCCTAGTTGGTGTTTCATGACCTAAAGAAGGGTCACAACTCAACTTTTGAAACCACTCATACGATCATACAGTGTCTTTTTTTTTTTTAATTTTTTTATCAGAGTAAATCTTAAGAGAGGTAACAGTTACAGATGTCCAAATATTCATAAACTGCTATTTGTAACATTTATTATGTATTGTTGAATAGTTTTCCATTGGTAATTTGACATAAAAGTCGTATAAGTTAATTATAAGATTTGGCAGAACTATACAACAAAAAAATATAAAAAAAGACATCTAGGTAGCAAGTTATAGAAGTTTTCAAACGTTTAACTTGAATTTGTCTCAGATTGAGTGGACACTGGTTTCCATGGTTTCTTTTTGTTACTAATATCAATTTCATTGTTAGTTATACCCGTTTCATTCACACCCTGATTTTTCTTCAGCACTTCAATTTCCTGCAGCTTTGCTTCACTCACATGATTTCACCCTGCGTTTACACCCGCACCTCCTCCCCCCAATCAGATCCTTCGGTGTGAGTATTTACTGACGTGTCTAACTTTAAAAATATGAGGTAAAAAAAAAAGGATTGAAAGTTTAAGGTGTTGACGTTATTAAAGTCTCTGATCTCAGTTCTAATGAGCACGTGTTGGGAAATAAAAAAAATCCAATAAGCTGAGACTCAGTTTGTCATTATTGCCCAGCACTAAAAAGTAAAGTAGGAGTGATAATGTTGCCTTTGGAGGCAACTTAATTAAAGTTTAGGTTCTTCTGGTTGCCTAACACAGGACTAACACATTGTCACACAGGTGGTTTTATGTTTATATCAGCTAAATGGTGGTGGGATGCATCACAAACAATGATGAGTCCAGCTACAGGCAGGAGGTGGAACACCTGGAGAGCTGGACCAAAGAGAATAACCTTCACATCAATGTGAAGAAGACAAAGGAGATGATTGTGGACTTCAGAAGGAACAAACACACCTACACCCCCCCTGAGCATGAGGATCTGTGGTAGAAGTGGTCTCCAACTACAAGTACTTGGGTGTACACATGAATGACAACCTCAGCTGGAGCAACAACACCACCAGCCTGATCAAGAAAGCTCATCAGACTCTACTTCCACAGGCAACTGGGACGAGCTGGTCTGGGAAGCTCAGTCCTCACCTCCTTCTACAGGTGTGCAGTGGAGAGCATCCTGTGCTCCAGCATCAACGTGTGGCATGGAGGCTGCACAGCTGCAGAAAGAAAAGCTTTGCAGAGAGTGGTGAAGGCTGCACAGAAGTCTGTCAGAGTCAGTCTCCCCATCATCTCAGATATCTACACCTCCAGATGCAGAAAGAGGGACACCTGCATCATGAAGGACCCCACTCACCCAGCACACACACTTTTTGCCCCACTCCCCTCAGGAAGGAGGTTGAGGAGCATTAAGTGTAGAACCACTAGACTGAGGAACAACTTCTACCCTGAGGCTGTTAGACTCATGAATCTCTAACCAGAATAATCACTGTGAAAAATCACATCATGTTGCTGCTGATCTTTTTCATGTTGCTGCTGATCTGTTTCATGTTGATGTGTTCATGCGTGCACATCTTCTCACACAGACTCATGCTCATGTTTGTGCTGATGTTCGACATAATGTTTTTATGCTATTAGTGCTTAGTGTATTTTTAGTTGATGTTTTTCTTAGTTCATATCTTAGTAGTTATCATTGTTTTTTTGGGTTTTTTTACATTTTTATTGTTGGACGCAACTGGGACCCTGTGTACATATTGTCGTTCCACCAATGTGGTGGAACGACAATAAAGAATCTCTAACTCTGACTAAATCTCTTCTGTTCTCAGTCTGATTGTCTTCGATATTCTTATTTAATGTTTGTGTTGGTGGCTGAACTGAAAATTACCCTAAAAATATATAAAATATTGACTGGCTCAAATATTTATTCAAGATAAACGAGAAATATGAGCCTCTTCAATGAATGCACCATAATAAAACTATATTTAATATGGTTTAGGATGACGTGATTTTTCAAGTACAAGGCAGAAAGCGTAGCAGTACACTCCTAATCTTCCCCGGATAAGAAAAACGATGTTTTAAACCCCAGTGAGCTCAAGTAAAAACACTGATCATAACTCACAGACAATATCTGCAGAGCCTGCCCAGCTAAAAGGCTCATTTATTTAGACACCGCTGTCTGACATTTTTCTTTGTTTGAGTCTGTCAATATTTAGTCCCCAGTTAAAGATGAAAGAAACATCTAATTAGAGAATGCAATATGACATGATAGCTTATTAAATTCTAATTAACACATCTCAGCAGAGACCAGAAAACTGCTTCCACAAATAAATCATCATGATTTCTACAAGACAAACAGGATGTTTTCAAACCGTACGGTTGATAGTGTTTGTCTTGTTGTGCAGTGCCGTGTGTGGTTAGATCACTAACTCAGGCAGGAACATTTAACTTCTTGTTCCAGCAGAATGATAATTAAGCAGCAGACTACTTTCTGTAATAGTTTGTATGTTTCTTACATGATAAGTGGCGCAAAGGAACCAAGTCAAACCTGTTGTTATCTTAACCTGTTTGCACTGAACCTAAAGCAAGAATGGATGGATAAATGAATGGACGGACTCACAAAGCAAACTCACGTCTTTGAGCAGGTTCATAAAGCGGGAGCCGAAGCGCCACGGTTTGTGTCTGTGGCACTGAAGGGAGCTGACGGTGATTTGGGAGGTGCGCTGTGAGGCCGCAGCCACCATGTAAACAGCATCGTACATCAGAGCCGATTCAGTCTGAAAGAGAAACGCAGCTGTCACAATCCATCTCCAGGGTCACAAACGCACTTATCGCTCCAAGACCAATGATGTACGTGCACAGCATCATATGGGATCTCAAATCAGACGCAGTCACACAGGCAACACAATCATTCACACAGCCGGCACGGTTGTACACACAGTCAACATCCATGGGGCATAGCTACATCCTGAAATGAAACACAACCACAGTAGTCCTTTTACAGCTTCCAAAACAGGAACATCTGTCTGTACATTATAATGGAATTTTTGAATAAGCAACTTCCTTTTTGTTTCTAAGTGTTTAGGGAAGTCAAGTGCTGAGGGGCAATGCATGTATAGTCCTGAGAGACTGTGTATTATCGTGTTAATTATATAACACTGACATGGTGACAGTCCTGTACACTCATTCAAAAAAAGTTGTACGATGTCAAATGGATTGGAACTATACAAATCTGTTTAATTCAGTTTATTTATAAAGCACCAAGCCACAACAGAAGTCATCTCAGGGCACTGAAGAAACATCCATGTGTATATAAAAAAATAAGTGAACGTTATTTATCTGAGGAGCAGACTCCTTTGAATTGATCTCCGTCACAGACTCTCATCTTGAGCAACAATGAAGGCGACAGTGGAAAGGAAAAACTCCCTCATGAGGAAGAAACCTTTAGCAGAACCAGACTCAGAACAAGCGGCCATCTGCTTTGACCGGCTGGGTTTGAGAGGAACAGATACACAATGGCAGGTCGAGAATCACATGTTAAGAAGGAAATAGTATCAAATGAAAATTATTCAATTTTACCAATTAATTTAAGGAAATTTGGTTAATTTGTCCTCCAGTAGTCTAAGCCTATAGCAGCATAACAAGCCAACCCAAATTATAGGCTTTATCAAAAAGGAAGTTTTAAACCCAGTCTTAAAACCTATACCTAAACTTTATACCTCCCTAGCAAGCAAATATAATTCATCCATATCTTTATTCTAAGTTAATGCAAACAGAACACAAGTAGAACCAAAAATGGTAGCTTTAAACTCACTGTCATCATTCCCTCCGTCATTCCAGTCTCGACCTTGGTGGGAGCCTGCAGTCGCTCCATGGCCCACCTCTCCAACACCGAAGCCACTTTAGGATTGTCCACGTTGAGCAGCCGAAACCCTGTCATGTTGACCCCACTGTAGCGGTACGGTTCCAGGTCAAGGGCGAACAGGTCCTGCACAGATCAGCCCCGGCATGATGGGTGAAGAATTAATGCAATTCTGCTTACAAAGATTACTGGCGGGGTGGAGTGGAGAGGAGCTTGAATAAACAGTGGAACAAAATGGAAGTAATACCATGGAGTTGTGCCAAAAGCACTGAAAACATCCTATTATAAAACAAACCACAGATGTTTGAATTCATTTACATAAACCTTTCCTGAAAGCATCCTCAGGTGAACACACACATCTTAACTTGTATCAGACTGAAGCACTTAATTATGTTGAATATAGTCTTATATCAGCTAATTATCAGCTTCAATGTATTTATAACATTTCCAGTGCACTAGTCCTAAAGGGCAACATCATGAGTCAAGGTTCTTGCACATATTTGAAAATAAAGACATTTTTCTTACCAGTGTGGTGAAGAAGTAGTGATAATACTCTGTCATCATTCCCATGGACAGAATCTGAACAAAATTAACAAAAAATAGTTGTTTCCCCTTAAATTGTAGCGAGCAAAAATGAATAAAAATTATCTCTCACTATAAAAAAACAACCAGATTGTAATCTATTACAGAGTTGGCAATACGTGTAGTTTTCTGATTTGGCTCGTTTGCATGTTTCCATCAATAAGTATCCAATAAGTGTGTCAGAATTTGCTCATGTTAGCGTAGCATCTCCAGTTAATCTTCTGTGCAACATTTGGTCTTAAACGTGTACGTTTGGCACAGAAAAGGCTCAGCTTGGATTTATAAAGGAAAGTGGGATTTCTGAAGGGAATAAAATTTAAATAATCTCGCTTGCACTGAATGTTTAACACGAAGCATTACATGCAACAGCAACAACAACAAAAGATAACCTAGGACTCACCTCCGTTGATAAGCTTTAATTATATTTATTCAAACTTCTTGGATAAAGTTCTTTGTCTAATGCCAAACTAAAGAGGCTGACCTGCTTTAGAACATCTGCTGATGTTTGGTACGAGCAATCGAAGATGACAAAGAACTCCTTCCCTTTCTTCATCTCCTTCAGCAGGGGACGGGCATCTTTGCTTCCTGAAGGAAGCTGTCGGATCTTGATTTTAATGCTGTATCTGGATGGAGCTTTGATCAACTCTTGCAAACGAATCAGTCCTTTAAGTCAAAGAGCAGAAGACCAACATTATTTTTTTTTTAGAAATCATACTATATGAAGACACAAAGTCTATGTACAGTGTGTTTCCAAATGGATATATAGAAAAAATATCACATTTAATATCACATTTAGTGTTATAGAGTATATTTAAAACATTTCTGACCATGTATGTAAATTGTGTTGTGTCATTTGTATTTGAAGGGTTGCTTTGCTGTGCATTTTGCTGCAAAAAATAATGTTTTACACATTTTAAACTAGTGGATGAAATGTAATTTATTGTAATCTAGGCAGACATTTAAAAAAAATCAAAAAGAAGACTAGAATACTGTAATTACAAAACTGTAGCCGGACCCAATAGGCAGTATTGGGTAATATAGACGGTCTTTTTTACTTTCCACGTCTTCTGCAAAATGTACCGCAGATGAATAAAAATGAGCACATACTGCCATTTAAATTTCTGCTGCTCATAGTAGATGTTTTTTTTTTTTAAAATATGACTGTTTTCACGCAGCAACAGTTTTTTGAGGCTCCATTTCTAATTGTGTTTTCATTTGTCACCGCCCTCTGCTACCTAGAAAAGGCGGGAATTACTATGGTAACCAGTTCCTCAACAGACTCAGTCTCTTTTGACTATTGACTTGATTAAAAGAAAAATTGAATGAAAGAGAACAGAAGAAGATTTTTTTATTTAGTTTAAAGTAAAAAAAAAAAAAAAGCTTAAATGAAAATAAGGAAGATAATTTCACCTAAAGTTTCAAACTAAAGCTTGTCAATACTCTTCAAAATAAGAGTGTGGTTATGTCATAGCTTGGATTATTACAAACATTAGTCTCAAGTGACTACTGAGCTTTAGAGAATATGGAGTTCAGGCAGAAGCTGCACTGGCACGCTTCATAATTGAGAAATTTTATTTTTGTTTATAACCTTTCCACAGATCCCATTTCAAAATACATGAACTTTCTCTTTAATGGCATGCATTCATTATTTGCCTGCTGTGATTTGCTGTTTAAAAAAAAGGCTGTCACTCTTAAAGCTATGTTGGCTGAAAACAAAACCCATTGCCAAGAAAAGGATCAGACATACAACATCATGAAGTACCTTAAGAAAGAAAACAAAGAATTGTTGCACGTGAAAAACTTAAAACCAGAGCTAACGGGATCATCGGATAAACCCTGAAAGAGACCCTGCACAAAAAAACCACCATGCTGCGTAAGAAATGGTTCCAAGACATTGACGCCATCGAACTCCAAAGGAAGTGAACACAGGAGGAGTTGAAGAACTAAAACAAAATCTTGCAAAAAGAACGTACAGAACTGATTTTGCAAAGTAAGCTCAAAACGGAGAAAATGCAACGGGAAAATCGGGTATTACGCAAATAGTGATGCAACTCAACAGAGAGTTTTATGAGATTTAAGAGCTGTTCAGGTCAGTGGTAATGAAGGTCAGTAAAGAAGGTCGGGTCAGAAAAAACAAAAGAAAGAAAAAATAGTAAGTCGAGGCAGGAACATCAAGAATGTGTTCCAGACTCTATACTCAAGCTTGAAGCAAAGAAGGCACAATCACAACTAAGCAAAAGATGAACATCTTGGAGCATAAAAAAATGTTTCATATTACTTCCAAAATTATTTCATGACGAAAGATGTTTAGGAATTAGAGGACAAAAATAAACGTAACAAAAATTAGGTGTTAAAAAAACCGACCATTCAGCAAATCTATACAGTTCACAAGATTCCATTTTGAAGGAATCTCCTCCATCACTCTCTTGAAACAGCTCTTTGAGAAAAGAAAACCGCTCCAAGATGATTTAAACACAACAGCAGCCTGGGATGGAACAAAGGCACAAATCAAATTATTTCGCTAACACAATTCAGACCTGGAACAGACACATGACGTGACTGTGGAAACAAAGATGCTGTGAAAAAGACAGATGTGGCTTCTCATCAAACAGCTGCAGCCTTCTCTCTAATGAGTGAAAACATGAGGGTTTCCAGAAGATTCAATAAAAATAAGCATATCTTAAAAGCAGTTTGAAGCAGAGAATTAAAACATGTTAGCTCTCTTTATGCATGAAGTTAACGTGTTATCCACGTGGATGTGTGGCTTTCCTACTCTGGTGTCCAACAAAAAGCAAGAAAAGAGCAGAAAAATGGGTTTGAAACACTTCCACATTCAGTTCTAATTTATTTAATTCTGAAATAAATAACGTCTAATCTAAAAGGTTTTAGAGTGACCTGGATTAGATTAACTTTATAGTAATTTACTAGTTTATTTTAACTGGACAGTACACAGTAATGTTCAACTCAGAAGAGAGAAGATAAATTGTGCCAAACTTTGACAACTATTTAACATTTGTTGCTCCAGGGCAATTTATTATTTATTAGGTCTTTCCAGTATCAACAATTAACACATTCAAGTTTTATTGTGTTCAAATTAATACTGAGGGGCCATATTTAAATCAAGCACGACACTGGGAAAGAAATTTATGAGAAAATAAGAAAAGGTATCAAAAAGGCATGATAAGCTTCCTTCTCGTTCCTTCTGAATGACTGTCAACCCTAAAACTTTGAAAAAAAAAATTAAACTATGCTATGGTGTATTAAAAACAAAACTAAAAGGTAATAATGAATGGTAGAAACCAAGTAACATGTTTGGATTAAAATATACTGTTTTGTTAATTGTTCCCGTTAAACCAGTTTTGTCATTGTATGCTGAAAGTATTTACATGAAATGCTTGTCTTGCATTGATGGTACCTGACTAATTTTAATGTTGCAGTTTTAATCAATGAGCACAGGAGGCCAGCAAAAAAACACTAGTCACGTTCAAACCTTTTAAATGTTGGTGATCCTAGAATTGCCTGTTTGGCTTTTTTCCATCAGTTTTTATGTATTAGACTAATTATCCAAGCAAAACGAAATAGTTTGCAATATAATTTCTACAAATTAAGTATAGAATATACCTACAACCTGGCATTTGGTGATACATTTTATAGGCTATAGCAAAAAGGCTAACACTACAGCAATTGAGATTTTTTTTAGATTTTTATTTTATTTATTTATTTTTTTTACTAAAAACAAATCCTAAAATAAACACACAAAGTTTCAATTGAGCATCTAAATTGTGCAATTGTCACATTTCAAATCATTTACTAAGAACTGCACTTCCTCAAGATGGCCACTAGGGGGTAGTAATTAAAATTAATCAGAATTGTCGGCATCCCATGACATTCAGCTGGTATTTTTGTTGGTACTGTTGTTTTGTTTGTTCGTTTTTATATTTGCTAGCTCATAAAACAGCGTGTTTGTTCAGCCGAACTTTAACAATAAAAACATGGAAAATGTACCGCAACTAGCCTAAAACGGAACTACATTAGCTTACTTTATCGTGACACTCATGGGGTTGTTTGATGATAGAACACAATTTTTATTTGTTTGCATTGACCAAAAAATCATGACAGTAGAAGATTGTTTAGTTAAAAAAAAAAATACAAATTTTACTGCAAATATATTCATGTGTCAAATATATATATATTTTATTACCCTAGCCTAAAGTATTTGCATCAGCTTACCAACTTTTGCAAACTTTATCCTTCCCAAACATTTTGAGTCTTTAGGCATTTGAAAACAATTAATAATTAATCAAGTAATCTCTATTAAAACTAATTTTACAAAGTTTCTGGTATAGATTTTCAAAATAAAACATCAACGCAGAGTCACTCAAAACTGGTATTTAAGCGACAATTGTCAGTAATATTCTAGCATCAAATCAATCAAACATTATACTTAATTAAGTACTTATTAAATTATGAACTCGTTGTTTTTTAGAGCGGTAAGTTGAGTTTTCGACCATGTTGGAAACAAAATGGCGAGATCCTTAAAAGTGGTTTAAAAACAAAAATAACTGTGCTTCTATTCTGAAGATTAACATACTTTGCAATTGACGTCCAGTTGATTTTGTTTTTTAACAAATTTTATCATTATTGATCATGACCTGGACGACTGAGAAGCTTCACCAGCAAAATGGCGGGAATTTTGACATTCATAGGCACAATGGAGAGTGCCGTCGTTTTCAGGCGTACATAGTATTTTGGCAGGCATGTTTATATCTGAATTAAGGTTATCAGATTATGCCACAAAGCTTAGATAAGAGGCAACAGAGCTGTGTGTGGTCAAATTATTTATAATTTCAGCCAAGATGTGCAACCAGATCCATACAGGCTGAGAAGTGAAGGACGACCCAACAATACGGCCAAACACTGACTAGATATTTTGACTGAATCTCCTGGTTCGTTCACCAGAGAGTCTCTGAAGGTCTACAAGTCACTATACAGGTGCATTGTTTTTATTTTTTGACTTTGTTCATAAATTCTGATTAGGGGGCTTGTGATTGTGTATGAATTTGTTACTTCAAACACAAATACACGCAATGATCGCACATTTTTTCACAGGTTAGCTGAAAGTCTGCGACCATGTGGCAGACTGTGACTACTCAGAACACTGCATGCGGTGCAATTAATTTGCTTGATACATGTCTATTGGCATCAACCCTGTCTGTCTGTTAGCAAAATATTTCACGATCTACTGGACAGATTTTAATGAAACTCTTAGAAAGAATTAATTGGGTACACACTTATATCAGTTACTTAAAATGTGTTTTTGGATCAGTCTCAGCTACTACCACACCAAATTTGAGGTCAATATATGTAAAAGTGACCAGGTTATTCTTTTTAGGGTTTTTTTTAAGGTCAAGTGGTTGTGGCAACCATTTTGAATCCAGTGGACACCAGAACTTAAAGGTCTTCACTGCAAAATATTGTCAAAAATAAAAAAAATGTTATCTGAACTAAATAAAAGGTGCATTTTAAGGGTTTACTCCAGATTTTTGCAGATGTATTAAATGCAATTCTGAAATGTGGGACCACACTCGATTTAAACAAAGCGCTGAACTGGATCCACCAAAAACCTTGATGCTTGAGTCACGTGACTGACCTACATTACACTGGATGAAGCTGCGACGAAAGTCTTGCTACAGGTTTTATACTTCTGCATGAACTGTTTGGTTAGATCTTGTTGACTCACCAGTTGCGTCTTCATAAACCACAGTGACGGCTTTCCACTTGTAGAACTGCACTATGTCCAGCACAGCTCTGCTCAGCAAGGCATATTCAGGATGGAGGTTAATGTAGAAGCTATCTTTGTTGTCCACTGAGGGGTGTTTCCAGCGGGTCTGGATGTGAGGAACCTCCAGGGCGTTACAAATAGACTGGACTGCACTGACAGAGGAGCTGTGGGAGGGCCCAAACACGGCCCCGACTCCCAGAGCCAACTGGTCACACGCTGGAGACAAGAAACAGATCAGTTCTCATATTAACCCTCCAAAACAAAACAAGAACGAAATGAAATTATCTTTACCTCTTCTGGAGGCTTCAAAACTGTCAAATAAGTTTATTCTCTGGATGTCATAGGTCAGCGTGGTGTTTGGCATTAAGGTCCGGTTCCTGTTTATGTTGGTCACGGCAAATTTAAAGGCCAATTCTTCAACACTAATGGGCTCGTTTTCAAGAGTTTCAAAGATGCCACCTGTAAGGAAAAACAAACGTGTCAGGGAGATCGTTGACAAGATGACAACAAAAAAAGCACTTCCATTTATAAACAAAGTTCAGTCCGGTCATCTGGACGGTTTCTTTTTCTTTTCTCATTTTTTGAGACGTTTCGTCCTTCATCCAAAGGACTTCATCAGTCCAACGAGCCACAACCATCTGACATAGTGGACCAACCAGTTTGCTGGTGATAATATGGTTTCTGTGGCCCACCCTCTTCCCCACTGACTTCCAAACATCAAAGTTCATGCTCAATAATCCAGGTAAAAAATCCAGCAAAGTTCAGTCAGATCATCTGGACAGTTTCTCGTTTTTGTTGACAGAATGGAAGACACCTCCATTTATTCACATTAAGTTCATCATTTAGTTTCAAATGAGTCAGAGCTACGTAATGAGGCCCAGTGTCCTACACACTTTGCAAATCTTACCAAGGGAGCTGCTGAAAATGCAGAGTTCAGTCTCATTCAGCAAAAAACTTCAGCTCCTCTGATTTGTACATGACCTGATTTAAACTGTGGAAAAGGCTTAAATGAAACGGACATGCTGCCGGGTAATTAGATTATTCTGCAGTTGCAAAAGTTAAACATTTGGAACGTAAATCATCTAGGAGTAAATGATAGTGGAAGGCAGTCAAATCTTCCTGAAATTGACTTTATGCAAAATCATGTGAAATAAAATTATAACGTTAGATATGAAAGTAAAATGAAAGACTGATACTGAAACACAAAACACATACTTGACCTTCTAATACTTTGGTTGTTTCTTATTTGTTGATTTTAACTTCAGTTTAGGCTTCATATAATAAAAACATCTTAAAATTGCTCAGAGTGGGAAGTTTTTACTCTTCCCGTTATTTCTGACTTGATAGCACTGAAATGTTATCATTTGCTTGATCTGACTAAATATTGTTTGCTGCATGGTGTGTGCTGGGTGAGTGGGGTCCTTCATGATGCAGTATTGTTTGCTGCATGGTGTGTGCTGGGTGAGTGGGGTCCTTCATGATGCAGTATTGTTTGCTGCATGGTGTGTGCTGGCAGGTTTCCATTGCTTCCAGTGTGTGATAGTGAAGTAACTGGGCGACCCATATTGCTAAAGTGCAATCATTAATGAGTTCTTTGAGTTTTCATTGATTTATAAGGAAAACCTTAATAAGCAAAGTGAGATGGTAAAATAAAAACTATTGTTAATTTTAAACCTTGTAAGGCCCAAAACATTCATTTTACTGACTGAAATATGTTAAATCTTTAACTGTTAGTCATTTAGTCTATGCTTTAAATAACTGTTTTGATGCAGTAATAGACTTTATTATTAAAACAATTGTTTTTCGACATTTCTGCTTTTTTTCTGGTGGAATCAGTAATACATCTCATTTAAGATGAAGCCAATAAGGAATCACTTTACTGATTTAAGTGTGTTTTAAAAACCAAGTCAAGTTTCTGCTTTTTTTGTTTTATTCTGCTGCAAGACTAAATTTATGTTAAGCACTTTAAAACAAGAAGCCATCTTTTTTTTTAAAATCTAGAATCATAAATATTTGTGCATTTTTACTTGAAAATGTGATGCTAATCAGAGACATTTTCTGTCTTACTATCCTCCAACTTTACTTATTCCAAAACTAATGTACCATGCACACACAGGCAAATGTTCCGTAGCAATATTTTAATGACTCATTCTGTCATACTTATAAATAGTGTTGTTTTCAGCTCTGTTTAAAGTCTGCATTGTAATAGAAATAGCTTCCAACCAATCAGCTCGCTTGGTGAGCAGATTTGATTATTATTATTGTTATTGACTCATTGTTTAGGAAAAGTACACACACAACTTGTTTACCAGCCGAAAATACCATCAATGCATTATTTTTAAATCATTTGAATAAAAGTACATTTTTAGTTTTTATCTTCTAAATCACTTTTAAAAAAAGCAGTTATGAGTTACAA